TATTATCGAAAATTTGTGGCCTTCGCAGGCGGTTTCTTGTTAACGATTGATAGAAACTTCCGATTTATGCCAGAACCGCTCCACAGCCGGAAGTTCTAAGCGATAACGCAGGTGTATGCTTTAGTTCACGTTTTCAAGACTGCGGATATTTTCGTGTATTTATGGAAAATTTAAATATAGAAAATAACGGAACGGAAGATAACATGGGAAAAATATCGTGAATTATGTTGCATCTCTGTTTATAAAAGAATAAAAAGTATAGTTGCCAAATATCTTTCAGGATTATCGTTGTTTCGATGTATTTTCCACTCGACCACTCGGGGGAGCATCGTCGATCGGTTTTATCGACAGATAACCTTTATCAACGAATCGCGTTGACTCGTGAACCCTTTGAAAATCGAAGAACTCGTGAATTGAATTTATTCGCCCTATATCGAGCGCACCAGTCTTTTACCATCCATTCTTCCATGTATCTCGTTTCCAAAACGCTTCGATCGATTGGCATTCCTTTCAATCGTTCGAATCCTCTTTGTTGTAAACTCTTTTTTCATCGTTCAGGGGATCGATCATCGGTCAAAGCGATTCTTTATTTATTCTTTATATATCAAAATTGGTATTTTAAATTATTTATCGAATAAAAATTTGTAAATACTTGACAGATATTTCATTGTCCTCCTCATTTTGTAGAATAAGATAATAGAAGCCTATATTTTTCTATCTGCAAGTTCCATTAATCCTTTCGTTGCAATAGACTCGATAACCCTTTCCTCTAAAATCGCATTAAATTATCAAACTATCAATCTAAAAAAACTTTCTCCCTACAACAAACGTAAACACTATCCCAATTGTATTTATAAATTCGAATCAACAATTTTACCAAAAATTACACGCATAAGATTCCTTTCCAAAAGTATTGCAAAATTATATGAAAGAATAAAGGAAAGGAAGCGAGTAATAACAGTTTCCAAGAGTAAAAAGAGAGAAACCAGGTGTCGCATCAGCTGCCCGTTATCAAGATCGCAAACTGACAGTGACTTAGCGCACCCCTCAGCCATCGCCGTTCCAAACGCCATCTGGCGTTTCGCGACTCGCAACAAGCCAATTCGTGTTGCTGAACTGCGATAATAATCGTGCAGGTGGAAGCGTGCTGCGTGCGAAGCTTAAAAAAAAGAAACATGGCGGCCGTGAGAGAAGGAGATAGGGGAAGGAGGGGAGGGTGGATCGCAGCAAGAAACGGGGCGCGCGTATTGTCGGCGATAATTGAGAGACCGATTTCTAGGGGGAGGTCATAAACGAAAGTCTGGCCGGCTCGTAAACCGGCTAGGGAAATTCATGCGAAACATGCGAGGACAGTTACGATGGATAGTCGTGCGGCTGGCTGAGAAACGGTTTTGTTTGTCCCCGCCGTTGGTCGCACGGTTGTTCGTGGTTAATGGCCGATGGTGAGCAGCCCGGCCCGGCCATTGGCTTTCGCGAGTTGTGCTCTTGTTTGCGGGGGGAGGAAAGAGGGGAAGAAAAAAAAAAAAAAAAAAAAGGATTGACTCGTTTGAGGTTTAAACCGTGGATGGAAGCGGTGCGGTTTGAAGGTTTTTGGTGATTGAAAATTGGAATTTATGGAGTTGAAAGGTGCGGGATAGGGGTGAATAAAATTAGAATCGTGTAGGATTGTTTTTCGATAGTTTTTGAGGGGGGAGGAAAACTTGATTCGAATTTCTTTCCGGTTTAATTTTGAAATTTTGAAATGATTTTTTTTTTTTTTTTTGAGTTTTTCTTTGGTGGACAACGAAATATTTTTTTTATTATGTTTTATTAAATATTTTTAAAATATACGATGTGAAATTCTTCCTCCTTTTAGATTTCGATGTAAATGTAAATTGTTGTTAATTTAAAGATATTTTAAATAATTATTGTAATAATAATAATAATTTACGAGTATGAATCGTTGTCATGTTTTTAAAATGCAGAATAATAATTTTCCTCTCTACTTCAAAATCTAATTCGTGAAATATACCTTAGGTGTTAAATAAATTAGCGTAGAAATTAAGAGATTACTAACGATGCATCAATGATTAATGAGAATCGGAAACTTCATTAGGACCTTACACTTTGCTGGACTAGCATTCTGCAGATTCGTTTGTGACTATCTAAGTAGCTTAATTACTTCCTACCAAGCTAATAGACCGTGTGAACGCACGATTAAGCAATCATTAATCATTGAATATAGTTTTCTCAGGATTGAGGAAAATATATATATATATATATTTCAAATAAAATTTAAAATTTGGTATTATTTTTAAAAATTTTAATTTCTGCAAAATCAATTATGGAATGGATGCACTCTTTCCTTCCACACATGAATCAATTTGTAGAAGAAGAATGGAAATGACGAAAGGTAATTGAACAATACGAAATAATATATTTTTATTATTTCGCAAAACCTAAACAAGCTAATGTTTATTGTGCAAAATATGGTCGAGAAGATCGATCGTCACGAACAAAAACGAAGCATCAATCGTGTCGAGTGACTCAGAATCGGTGACTCATGCATAATTTATTTCAATTTAATTAGAGATTGGATCTCGCGTGGTAAGAAAAAGCAATATTTTCCATAAATTCATGCGAGGCTGTTGTGTGCTTATGCAAATTAAACCTAAAATTGTAAATGTTGTGTGCTATATCCCGCCTACCCTATAGAATGTAATATCCTACTTTATTTATGAATTTCGATATTGATTATATTTTCGGTTTAAAATCGTATGCACTTTGCAAGGATAAATCTCGAATAAAGAGTAGAACATTTTGGATGTTGTTCGAATGGAATTCTCATATCCGATACGTTTTAAATTTAAATATATGAGAAAGTAACAAAATGTTACAAAAATATCTTTTTCTCTCGTTGAATTTCCATTGACGGATCATCGATTGTGTATAGAGAGTGAAATTAATAAATTCAGGCGATTTTACAACTATCGAGTGAAAAAAATGAATTGTTTTTGTGAAAATAATTTTTGATTCGTGACGAAACGTTTCATTTCACGCGTGCAAAATGTTTTGCGCAAAATCATTGCGTGATTTTCGCGGGAAATTTACTGGAACAAGTGAAAGATATTAATAACACATATTGACAGGCTGAGAAATCAATATATAAGTCATATTTCAAGCTCATTTCTTAATTAATGCAATCACTTTGTTTTAGAAAATAAATCGTATTTAAAATTGGTCAAACTTTAGGGGTTGATTTGTGTAATCTATTACGTTCTACATACTCATTAAAATCATAATTTCCAGTAAAAATAGTTTAAATTAACTCTCATTTAAACTATTTTACAATTTTCTTCTCTTATTATTATATTTACAATTTACGCCAAATAATTTCATTTTCTATCCACTCTTCACCTCAGCCTCAACACGCACAACAAGTTTCCAAATCCATTTCATATCTATAGGATAGATTCAAAAAAAAAAAAAAAAAAACAAATCTAACGTGAGATCCTTCCTCTTTAATCGTCCACAATCGAAAAGGGAAACGCGAGCAATAAAAATCACGGTTCCTCAAGTGTTCTCAACACTGTCTCCATCTCACCCGGTATAATATAAATTATTACCGTCACGCTCATTCACTTGGAGCTTATCCATCCACTTTTACGCGTTTTTAGGACAAATAATGCCTCTCCCCCACATTCGTTTCGACGAGAATTAATATTCCCTGCGAATAAGGATTTACCCGTAAATCATGATGGATGCGAATTTACGAGGCGAGGTAGATGGCGCGGCGAAACACGAGGGAGATCCTCGCAACTTTTGCCCCTCCCCTCCTCTCCCTCCAAACGAATCGTTTCCTAGACATTCAATACGCTCGGTTTACCGGGACGAAAGCGTACAGAGCCGCGATGAATCATTGCGGTTCTTATTAAATTTCACTGCCGAGAGCTGGTGGACGACGACGACGACGACGACGACGAGCCGGTGAATTCGCTTTCGAACGACAGTTCCTCGTTTGTTTTCGAGTCGGTTTTCAAAGGAATCCGATCCACGATACACGAGAAACTCTCTATCTTTCTCTCTCTCTCTCTCTATTTCTCTATCTCTCTTTCTCTATCGTTATATATATATATATATATCTATGTATATAGCGTGTTGTCTCGGTCGAATCGGGGAAACACACTTTGCCCAACCGTTTAAATATTTGCCTCGGATCCGCGTGGCTTTGCCCGTGGGGGAGTTCTGCCAGCGATTGGTAATCGATTATCGGGACCATCGATCAGAAATCTTCTCGCATCGAGTTTCATTCGCCAGAGATTGAAGATGGCGCTGATTGTTGTACCCTTCTTTCGTGTTATACGTGTATAATATCTTATGCATCGTTTTATTTATCGTTTTAAAGTTTTTGGCTAGAATATCTGTGGTTATCTCGATAAATAAAATTGTTGTCACGTGTAATATTTATATCAAATATTTCGTTTGGTACGAAAAAAAAGAAAAAAAATAGATTGTTGGTTGGGATAGTCAAGTTTTTGGCTAGCATGCACGATATCTGTCTGGTTATTTCGATAAATAAAATTATTGTCACGTGTAATATTTATATCCAATATTTCGTTTGCTATGAAAGATTAAAAAAAAGAAAAAAAAATAGATTGTTGATAGTCAAGTAAGGGTATTTATTCTATTCTTGGCAGTGGATGAGAATTCATTGGTTGCATTTCTGTGCAATACATTTCCTTGGTAAATGGATCACGCGATGGGGAAACGAGACCCTTGGAATGACGTTTCGTTTATTTATTATCGATCAAGTTGACGATTAACAGAATCGAGTTGGAATGTTCAAAGAATAATTACATAGTTAAACTCTGTTTCATTCCAAGTTTAATAAAAGAGAAATATCGATTCAATTACGATTACCTTCTGAAGGTAATTTTAAAAAAGTTGGCAAATTTGAAAATTTAGTCATCATCCCCCTTGGGAGTCGATAATAAAGATATCGATTCGATCTCTGATTGCAGTTTTGACGAGACGTCGATGGATAGCTGTCCCTTGGCGGCAATCACCGAGACGAGGGGGAACGATTTGTCAAAGGATGGGAACGAAGTGGAGGTGACATCGTTAGAGGAAGCGAAATCCGTGATAGCGGCACTTCGGGCGAGGCAAAGGGCACAGGCGCATCAAATGCTCGCCTGGCGAAGGACATTAAAGTTGCAGGTAAGAACGGGTATAAAATATGAATGGGATAAAATAACAGGTCAAAGTGAACTTCGTCCCGCGTACGAAGACTTTACACGTTCGCACGACTTTAAAAGTTCGCAAGATTTCTTAAAATGCGTTTGTAACAATTGCCAAGATTGAATTCTTTATTTCTCTCCAATTTTTTCGTATTATTACTTCAACAAATACCATACAATTCACTCATACAAATGATTATATTTACAGAAACGTTATTTTCCAACATTTCAGATTTCCAATTGATTAATTCATTTATCCTTCGAGGATAAAAAATACACTTATTTTTATTGCAAAAATAAAAACATTCGTGCAGGTAGATAATAATAACGAAGAATTACGAATTCGTGTAATACGAGTTAACCTAACCTAACTTAACCTAACCTAACCTAACCTAACCTAACCAATGAGCCAACAATTCAGGGTAACCAGACTCGACTGAAATTTCGCATAAAATGGAGTTACGCGATATGAGGGGGAGGAGGAAAGAGGATGTATCGGCTATTTACGTTTCAATGCCTCGTTGATTAAGGCTATTATCCGGTAAAACTTTGAAAAAGGAATCTATCCCCGTTTCCGGGATAGGCCGGACGTTCACGTGTCGTTCGACTATTTCGCCCCGAACGTTGCGTGACCACGGACAATCTACCCATCGTCCGGAGGATTCGAGGGAAAGGAATAAAAGAAGGGAAAAGAAAAAAAGAAAATTCTACTTTGAAATTCAGCAGAGCGGCAAAATAATCGCGAGCAATCTTTTCGATTCTCCTGCAAGGGTTATGCTAGATGGCGCGGCAAAAATCGTGGACTTTCTGGTCGGAGGAAACGGTGAAGATAAAAATAAAAAAATAGGAAGAGATTCGGAAAAGAATTGGAAATACGTTGATACATGAAGAATCATTGCATATATATTAATAAAATTCGAAGAAACTCCTTAACTTTTGAGTTTAATAATAACAGTTTAAATAAAATTCATAATTTTCTGATATAACTTCAGGGATGCACACAGTTTTACAACTCGATATTCTCTACAAGAGAAAAAAGGCAGGTATTTATCTTATGCTGAAATATTAATTGATAGGCGTCGTGTTTATTCTCGTTGTTAAATTATCGAAAATAATGAACGAGCTGTAAAGAAAAGATGAGGAAATATTCGAAAGAAATTGCTTCGTGGAATTCACCTTTCGTACCGATCTCGTTTATTCTCCCCCTGTATCGCTTCATTCCCTCCCCATACTCGTCGATACTTTCTTTACATCACAGTTTATTCGAGGTTTAATTATGAACGCATCAACGGGCTAATTGCTTCCCATTCGTACGCTTTCAGAAATTCCGCTTGAACGCGGGTGATTAAACGGGCCGCGGTGAATAATAAATTCTCGCGGCCAATTAATTACCATGGAGACAATACGCGGTATAATCAGACTGACCAAATCCCATTCGATCGGGATCAACAGGCGGATTAAAACAAAGATGAAAATGGAGATAGCAAACAATCGTAGCTCGCGTAATCTCGGCGAGACCCCTGTTGTTGATCAACCCTTGTTTTCCTGTTCCCGCAAAATTAATTCCGTCTGAACAGATATAGAACAGATAAAGAAAAATTATGCCTAATAATTACGATCTTTGTGTATTTATGGATCGTTTGCACGAGCTTGGGTTGGCACAGAGTAATTAAAATAGATTCGTATTTTTGATTTTTGGATGTTTGGATAGAGAGGTATTTGAAATCTGAAGAATGATAATAAAAGAACGTAGAAATAATATATAAGAATATTTTAATATGGGATGGAGGTTGGATAGATCGTAGTTTATTGAAATATTTGTTTGGAAAGAAAATAATCGATCGATGTGCTGTTACTTTGGATTGTGATGTTTGAGTGAATGGATCGTGTCTTTATTTTTTCATTCCATTTTTATTAATTGCGACGATAAATTTATATAGTTATCGTATCGTAATATGTTGATAATATATCTAACGTATCGACAATTATTTATAAGATATTGAATAATTGAACGTATATTAAAATATTAATACTTCGATCCATAATTACACAATATGAATAAATATGAATGAATACGAAATAAGTATTCGTAAATGGAATCGTTGCTCATATTTCAATAATTAATTTGTAATACGTATATCAGTAAAAAAAAAAAACAAAAAAAAAATTGCTGTTCTATTCTCACAGCACTTGGTTATTCGTCGAAATTAATTTAATATTTATTTTTAATATTGATCGATATATGTAATATAATATATGCATGTTTCATTATATTTGCAATGCACTAGGCATGGAAACAGTTACTCAGCCATTCGTTTATCAGGCCAGGGATCCGGTCCCACGGGTGCCCGTCAAGAGAGAGTTTACTGTAATTAAATTCAAACAGGAAATTACTAGGGTGAAACTCGTAAAGCTGGATATACCCATTTAATAGCGGTACGAGTTGTCGATAATTTGTAAAACAACGGACACGTGGCACGCGACTGTCACGTTCGTTGGTTCTTGACAGTCTAATAAACGGAAGAAGAAGCGTTTAATTACGTTGCAATAATCCGTTATTAGACGCAACGACCCTCTCGCGTGCGGTGGATACGCGAACTCGACGAGGTTTGAACGAAACCCGACTAAGGTTGCACTCCGTACACTTGCACAACGTTATTCGTGGTCTTTACATCGCCTTCGGTTTGGCTCGTGTTTCTTCACGCTTCTGTGAATTTTTCAATCACGACCATGTGATTAATGGATGGATTGAGCGAGAAAATGAATTTTACGTCGTTATACTGCTTTATTTTTGCGTGGATATTTGCAAATTTCGCGTTTCGTTTCATTAAAACTTTGATTTTTTTATATAAAAAAAGCGAGAAAAGATTCAAAATTTTGTCATCAAAATTCACTCAGGAAACAGAGGAAGATGTACCATTGAAATTGCTTTTTGTTTTATCCCGATATCTCGATCCGTTTCCGAGCTATAACGATTCAAAGCATCCATAGTTAACACATTACACACACATAGATATTGTGAATAGGCCCTACTGGCATACTGACCTAAATATTTTTCCTGGAAATGCTATTTCTATGTTTTTTATGGCTTGTTTGGGATAGGTCAGTGAAGCAAGGTGCGAACGAGAGGTCCGAATACGCGACAAGGATCGAGATAGTAAACGATTAAAAATTACGCTCTTCTTTACGCGACGATATCTCGGAAACCGGAAGTCGTATCGAGATGAACTAAAAATCATTTTAAAGGAGAAGGTTGCGCGCTTCTAACGAGCTTTCATTCATTATCCGGAAGTCACTATCTTCGGAGTTATAGCGGTTTAAAGTTTTCCAAATTTTAATAAAGCTTAGTCAGGTTTAAGATAAATGAATAAAAATTACTTTTTCTTTATACGATGATATTTCGGGAACCGGAAGTCGTATTGGAATAAATGAAAAAGCATTTTAAAGGGTAAAGTTCTACGCTTCTAATGATCGTTCATTCGTTGACCGGAAGTCACTATCTTCGGAGTTATAGCGGTTCAAAGTTTTCCAAATTTTAATAAAGCTTAGTCAGGTTTAAGTTAAATGAATAAAAATTACTTTTTCTTTACACGATGATATCTCGGAAACCGGAAGTCGTATCGAGATGAACCAAAAACTATTTTAAAGGGGAAGGTTCCGCGCTTCTAATGATCGTTCATTCGTTGACCGGAAGTGACTATCTTCGAAGTTATAGCGGTTCAAAGTTTTGCAAATTTTAATACGAAATCTTTTAAAATCTATATAATTTTACTCTTTGTATCCAAGTTTTACGTATAAAATTCTCCCTCTATGAAATGGACAAATGTTAATTTTAAAAGGGAAACTAATTTAGGATATAAAGGATTGTAGATTATCATCGTTAAAACTTGCATTTTATTTCAAAAATAAAATTTTCTGGAAAGTAGAAACTCTTGTTTAAGATCTTGAATGGTAAAAAATATCATCAACTATTTTCTCTCTCCTTCTCTCTCTCTCTCGAACATACATCAAACTACACAACAAATCCGAGTAAAACAGAACCTCCTTCTCGTAGGTAGGCAAACGAAGCGGAAAGCGTTCCTTTGTCCAGTGAGTGAGTTCAAATGATTATCGTGCATGTCATATCCACGAAGGAAAACGAGAAACTCCGCGGTGTGATTGAAACCGAAAGGAAGGAGGGGTGTTCCTTTTCGCGCTAGCAAGAAGCGTGGAACGGAGGAGTTCGTAAGGTAGCGGCTTGAAAGAATGGACAATGCTCGCTTAACCATTTTTCCATAGAATAGCCATTTACTCGAGACAATGCGCGTGGTGTAATGGACTTGTCCTTCCCCTCTGTAAAGAAAGGGAAGAAGGGAAGAGGAGGGGGAGGGGCGGGAGGGGGCAAGAAAACGGCTGGATCTATGCAAAGTGCGCCGGATACATTTTGCATCCGAAGAAAGCGATGCTTCCTCGAAGGGAACAAATCCCGCAGATTGCGTCTGGCTTTCGTCAAAGCTTTATTTCGTTCCCGTGTCATCCTTTAAACACAATCGACGTAGAGGATTTTTAGAGGCAACCGACTACGAAATGTCTCGCACGTGCATGCCGTATCTTTATTTTATTTTACGTGAACTGTGTTTGCCCGTTAAAATTGCTTCTTTCGAGAGAATTTACGACACGNTTATTCAAATTGAAAAGTTTGGAGTGATTAGTAAAAGTTTGTTTGTACATCATATTATAATAAATGCGTTTATCGTATCGTTTAAATTGATCGCGAATTTCGTATTATTTATTTATTTGTTTATTTATATGATATCAAAAAGAATTCGATGTGTATGAAAATAAAATGTAGAATTTGTTTATTTTTATTTTTGCTTCGTTGGAAAATAAGGTATATGATGTACGAATATTTTTTTTTTTTTTTTTTTTTTTTTT